TCTCTCTCTCTCTCTCTCTCTTTTTTTTTTCTCTCTTTCTCTGTGCGTGCGTGCATGTGCATATATGTGTGAGAGAAACAAATTCTCTCTTTGATGGACCAATGATTCCAATACGCCGTGTTCTGTATCGTCTCACTGTTTAAATGATTAAATCGACCAAAATATTTTCCTGCATGCAGTTTAAAAAATGATGTTTCACTATATTTTTTTAACAGGCCTGTGTGTCATCGCTTCTTTATTTGTCGGACCAGAATAAATGAATACATTTTATCTTTTACGTTAAAACCCTACATTCCTAGAATTATAAAGTTTCCCGGAAAGCTACCCATCTTCTCTGAAGCTATTCCTAGCAACAAGACGATGTCTACTGCTTTTAGACCAATTCTCCTAAACGTTTTGCTGCATTCCTTTTATTGGCAAATACTTTCTCAAGTTTTTTTTAAAGATATGACCAAGAGAACATATTGATGAAAATGTTCTTGTTTATTTTATTTTTATCTCTAAAAAAAATTGGACGATGCGTGTATGCTATTTACATGACGTGAAAAGTCAAGTGCCTTGTTAAACAGAATTTATATTGTGCCTTCTGATGTTTATACATAACATGTACTTGATTGTCCCAACTAAAGTTGTTTGTCATCGACCAGCTGTTCAGGTGCACTTACTGAGCCCACAATTTTTATCCTATGGTAGGGGTTGTATACTGTGAAATATAATTTCGTTTTGAAAAAAAAAAAAAAGCAAGAAAAGATACATTAAAAAAGTGTTTTCTTACTGCTGAAAGATTTTTCCTTTCAGAGCTTAGGAATTTTTGAGCGGCTTGCCAAAGTTATGGTTTTGTCTTTCTTTCCAATAATTGATCATAGGAAGAAGTTTTCAGCTCTTCACCTTTTGATGTAGAAGATGTCAACTCGATTCCTGAAGTGGTGGGAAGTCATTGTATCATGTTGTGTCTTCAGTTGGGAGGGACCCAGAATTATTTGAAACCACTCTCTATTCTTGTCTTTTTTAAACGCATGTCACTGAAGAGTGTACCATACAGCTAGGTGCTGCGTTTAATCAATGACACACTTCTAAGTCATGCTATTTTCTGTAAGTGAACCATACCGTCAATATTGTTATACATTACTTAATATTATGCATGTAGTATTTGTTCATTTTATTATCGTTGAGCTTCCTTTTTCAAGCATTCGTTTTATCTGTGATATATAATTCATGTAACATGCTGTTTCACACCAGCTTCTGTTGTGTGGCGTGAAGAAGGATCTTGCAGTTTGCACACAAAAGACACCAGTTCGGTTCTCATTAGGGGGAAGTACAATTGGTCGCTTTTAAGGACAAGTGGGGTAACCCAGATTTCGGGGGTTTCCAGAATCTTGACCAACACCAAAAGCTGGGTATTGCCCTACCTATTGGAGAACTTTGATTACATTGGTGTGTATGTTTGGTTTTTAGAGAAAACTCTCCTTGTCTTATAGAGAAACTGAACAAGGGGCACAAACTTTACCTTCGATTTTCTCAAAACAGCATTTTTCGGGATAGCCCCCTTGTGCTTAAAAGCGACCAATTAATATACAGATGGTTGTCTTGGATAGATGGTTGTTAGAGTAGTTCCGACTGTATTTGACTTCCTTTCGATGGACTGACATTCATGGGCTTTACTAGGAAAGCAGGACCAGTTGTCAGGACCGTCTACTTCATACTGTTGTGAATGTCAGGTGGGAGATGGAAAGAACAACAGTTAAGTAGTCCATATTATTTTATGAATACGTTTAGTTAACACAATAGTCCTTATTATTATTTTTTTCCTGGGACTCGTGTTGGATTTCTCGTGTTGGATTTCTCGTGACATCTTCAACTTTGATCTTATCAGATTCACTCTATTGTAAAAGTTAAAAAAGGCTTTTTACCTGACCACAAAACATTCTGTCGTTTAACCATTCTTCATTCAGATAAGTAGATAATGTGTAGTATTGTTATCTTTTTGCATGATTTTTATGCTGTATTTAGAGTGTGGTTAATACCAAGAATGAACAAAGCATGATGTTTGTGAATTGTTTCATTATGGAACTGAAATAAATATATATATACAATATGATTATGGTGATCCGAAACAAAGACTTGCTGGTTTGTTTTGGAGTATGTGTGTTTGTTTTAGCTGTCGTTTGTGTGTGTGTGTGTGTGTGTGTGTGTGTGTGTGTGTGTGTGTGTGTGTGTGTGTGTGTGTGTGTG